ACTCCCACCCCTTCGGCTAATTCAACAGGATCGAGTACAGCGCGACAGGACCAAAAACAAATCGTCGAACAGGAAACCATATTAGCGTGTGAGTGACAGAAGCCGAACACTACCACATGGAAAGCACTGAAATTACTACCCTGCGGCTCGTGATGAAACATTTGTGAACAGATTACCAAGCTCGTCAGGTAGACAAAATTCAACATCATCTTGTTTTTTCCAACTTACATATTTTGGGAAGTGCAAATGTTCAGATGGCGCATAGACAAAAGCAGCTTATCAGTAGGAGAAGAAACCATGCAACCCATTCTACTCGTCATTATCATTGGATCGCAATCAATCTCTGTTCTTCTGATGCAGAATTGGCCTACCCCAAGGGTAAAATCTGATAAATGTATACCGAATTAATGGGCATGAACCGTATATTATACTCCCGAATGATTTTCGAATATTTTCACTCAAAGCCCACAAATTTGAAGCTGTTGAGTTCCAAATATTTGTGTAACTTAAGATTCTGTGTCTTCCCTACTTTCAAAATAGTAATAAATGATGAAAATAAACCATCTGAAGATAACACTATCGTGACTTATCACCTTCCTAATCGATTTATAAACTGGTATTGAGCAGTTTTTCCCCGATTCGTTAAACCCTTTTGAAAACATAATTCATCCGCGCCCCTGTTGAATTAATATCATTACTGATTACAATATTCCTATCACTTCGATTTGTGATACAAGAATTACTTCTGAATCAGTCAATACCTAAATAAAGGATGATAATCAGCGTTGTATCTTAGGTCAGTGGGCAGTGCGTTGCTGTCGGATTCAGCCAGTTATTCACTAATACATTTTGCATGTCCAAACTAGTTGGACTTGCTTTGGTGAAACACAAAGAATCAAGGGGAGCCCGAGATGATTTTGTTGTCTGAATTGCCACCACTTGAGTGGAAAATTTATCAGCGTATGAAGAGAATCCCAACTGCTGGATTATTCAGTGTTACACTTAAAACTTGAGACGCACTTCAATAAGACCCCCAAGTGGATAGTTTAACCGAGAACGTTGGGCTTTTATTTTATGGACTGTTTCCAACAACAACAACAACAACAACGACATTCGCGGTTGTCCACATACTTGTTTCACTCGCTTTGGCATTTTTGCTTGTTTCCTGAGGTTTCCTTTATTATGACTGATATGTGTTTGATATTCTGTTGAACTAGGAAAGGCATGTGGTAATAATTGCCCCACTTCGGTACATCACAATAATATCAGAAAAAAATCACCCAGTAAAATCATATTCTGTCGAACTATGAAAAACATGTGCAAAACCTCGTAATCTGATTGGTTCATAGAGCATGGAATCCTATTGGTAAAAATGACTCATTCAAATAGACCAATCAGTGGTAAGTTTGTCCATTTGAAGTACCCGATCGTTTGATACTACATGTTTTAAAAACCGTTTTATATCATTTCTTATCAACTTTTAAAAAATAGTGGAATTTTGTGGCTCAGATAATGGTCCACTGAAATCTCAATTCTAGTGCTGGTCATGTGTGATTCTAGACGGTGGTTTCATTGGTATACCAGAGCTGACCACTGTCAAATTAGGACAGTGGGAATGTGGTTAGAACTTAAGGACTGGTATTCCAATAGCTGCTTAAAGAGAGTCACCAAAAGAAAACGGCACATAGGAGGAGTATCGAATTTTGGGTTCAACTGATTATCTCACATAATCCAATTCCGAAAGAATCAGTACCCTCGGTTGGATTCAAACCAACGCATGGATACTACCAGTGGACACTATCAGCATGGGTCTTAATTCCATAGCGAATCCTGATCTAGCCCAATAATGGAACTTCAATTTGTGTACACCAGAATGAATATTACATTGAGCAGCAATCGATTACTCGAACGGGAATATCGAGGGGATGGGTGGGCGGTACTTTTTCCGGGAGACAAAATCACGTGATTTGTAAAACAGTCGTTAGAATTCGGTCACTCTCCCGAGTGCTTACGCTTGTTACTCACCAAGACGCGGGTAGCACAGTGTGAGTCGATGAAAATTGTACCGACTGCGTGGGGACAGTGAGCGTTGACATTCCAAACGGGACAAATCTGTTGTGGGCATAAAGATAGACAAGTGAAGACCTGTGAGAAGAATCCGAAATGAGCGAAGCACGATCAAAGGGCAAACAATGACAGAACTCGGTACCAGAGAAGACGATTGGTAACTTTTAGAAGTTATGATAACAAAAATCCCTCTCTGGAGGTTGCTTAGGTGTGTGTGTGACGATTTTAGTCCCACCAATTAAGATGATTCGATCTGACATATCATGCTACTGGCCAAAGCTCAGTTAGAACTTTACGCATCGAAAACAGGTGAATAAACATACTTTAGGCTCGTCGAGTTAAATAAATTCAATCATAATGCACTAAAAATACTGCTGTATATCAATCATCAAAAGCATTCTGTTTAGAAAACGCACCTAAGGTGCTACGAAACTGCATTCCTGAAAAATGTATGCATGAGGTTCAGTGCTCTGTGCTGGCTATCATCACGTCCAATTCTCACCCCGTCTGTGGACTGAAACAATATCCGGCAAATAACCACCGTAATCAATACAGCATTTGTGGACTAAACTCTTTTACCCAATAATTTTTAGGGAAATTCTATTAATTTTGTTAATCCTAATCGGTTTATTCGCAATGGATGTGTATGTGTGTGTGTGGGGGGGGGGGGGGGGNAATCACTCACCTTCCGGATGAAATACATTGAGAAAACCAGTTTGAACGACAGTATCCGCATCGCTCGATTGTGCGTCAGCTGGAAATAGAGATGGACGAAAAACAGAGTTTGATATTCCCTGGTCTTACTTAATCAGTCATCACATGAGCATTGTGCCAATCACTAGCCCCTTTGAAATTCCCTTCCCACTGTGTTGATTTTGATGCCTTACTAGTCATCAACCATTGGCAATCTACGGTGACACGGCAACTCAACGCGCGGTGAACCAAGTCCTCAAGGAGCTTTTGCACTCTGTTACTCGGTTAGAATGTGTACAAGACAACTCAGTCTTTTTGGTGGTATGTTTTTGATCTCGGAAATGATAGCCATAGGTGCAGACATTTTTTTCTACTGTGGAACTCACAGAAATCAAAATACGATTCACAAATCACAAAGGTTGAGCAAATCAGTTAATGGCCACAGAGGGATGCACCTAAAACGGGGGGGATCGTCTATTAACCTGCGGACGATTCACTCCGCTTCAACACTGTAACCGAATGTTTTGCCATGTCAAATATGATGTGAAGGAGTTCTTCAAAGACTCAATTTCGTATGATTTTTTACACAAAAGAACGTAAGGAGTTTTCAAGTGTTAATGTACGCGACACATATTGAAGCACAGTCAGAAAGAAACGGTTTCACTTGCCTTTCCAATAAAAATCCAGTCTATACTATTAACAGATCACCGTGAAAAGTCCCGTACCAAATGCATTTTGGTTCCATTTGTGTAAAGACTAATCAGAGCGATCCACAGTAAGCTCTTCATCGATAAACACCACTACAGTAGTCCAATGGTTAACTGTTATAGAGGAGCGATCATACATGTCCAGTGTTTTCAACCGTGGGTGCCTTGTCAGCTTCCAGTTGTGGCGTTCCAAGTCCCATTTTGTGCACTCTCCTAACAGAGATTTTAGGCTTCTTTGAGCTCTTAATTTACACTGAACTGATACTCAGATTTGAACCCCACAAACCGCAGCAACCGCCTGTGTGTGTGCACGTTTTCGAATCACCGGGTAACCTCATCTTTCACCAAAATTTATTTCTTTCCCGTTGGGTATCACGACGGTAGCTCATTCATTGTTGACTGGCAAAAGTTCAATTTCTTCAGTGTTTGCATTATACTGAATTCCAGTGGAGAAATATTCGCCTGGTTTATCGGTCGGATCACGACTTCCCGTGTGTCATTTTCGGTGACTTGTGACACTGCCCGTTAGCGGAGCTCTGAGTGCAGTCCCGGTTGTGTCCCCGATTGCAAGCGATTTGTGTGACCTATTTGAAGTTAAAAGTGTATCGGCAGCCCTGTTTCCAACTGTGCAGGTCTCATAATTGTCGTTAGTTATTTCGCTCGCACTGGTGGATTACCTGAGTAGATGTAGATGTGTATCCCACTCCGTGGGAGTTAGATGAGATTTGGTACATCACAAATCTTTTTAATGACTGACAAAGAGCACTGGACATCTACTTCACTCTGTTTGGGACATGTTAGTGTACGTTTCGCGTCTCTATCGGGACTCGAACCGCTGAACTTCCGGTTGGCTGTCAACACCCTCACCCTTTAGCTATACGGACGACGGTCGTCACCTTTGTACGAATGGTTCAATCAATTTAGATCTGTCCCAAACGGGACGAAATAGCTATTCAGTGCTCTTTATCGATAATCACAAGGATTTCCATCGCAGTTAATTCAAAAAATTGGTTTTAACAGTTGCTTGTGCCCCACTTTGGTTTTTACGTGTTCAAAAGATGAGTAATAAAACTGATAATATGACGAATTGGTGATGCAATGGTTCACACAGCATAGTGTGCGCAAAACGCTTTCAAGCGCACCGTTTTATTTTCTCTATGTATTTTCCATGTATCTTTAACATCACTTAATTAATAATGTTGAAATGTAGAACACTTGACACGTTAGATTCACCAAAGAAATTGACTTAACACGCTCCAAAGAGGCGAGAAATACTTTTAAGATCATTTCTTTCAGCCGGTCGGCTGATATTCTTTAATCCGATATCAACTTCCATCTAATTCACAGATTCAGCCGTTGTTATGGTTATCATTACTATTACTATTATTATTATTATTCTCGCAGCAACAGTACTGAAGATCATGAGCATCCCTATTTATAAAGTTGTAACCAATTGTTGCCATGTTTAGTTTAGCAATTGGTGAACATTACGGAGATGAACGTTTGTGGCATTAAAGATTGGATCAATTTCGGTCTCCCGAGACGCTGGATGGAATGGGACAGGAAGGAATAGCTCAAAGACGACCGTAGTGAACAACTTTCTGGCTAATCCGCCTCAGTGCTGCATGAATGTGTCTGACAAAACCGAAAGGAGATTTCTGAAAGCCGTTTTCGATGGAGTTACGGATGCCCTGAAGTTAAAGTGCCTTTTCAATGCTTGAACAGTTGCAAGTGGCACATGATGAGAACGTATTGTGGCACGTAAGACTGTTTTCATTACCCCACAATTATGGCAATACAGCAATATGAATTTGTGAGAAAACGGGACAGTAATTTGTATCCCAAAGCTTGCATCAAAGTTGTTCCCCGCTTTGGAAGTGAGTTTTGTTAAAAGGCAACTACCATTTAGATCGGGTACGTCAGAATACTTCACTTGTCAGGAATATGGGTAAGGGAGTTTAATAGCTAGCACAAATTGCTTCTGAGCACACAACAGGGGCTTGAGAGGAAGGATGCCAACTGCCATCTCCAGGGCTAGAATACGAAACTCTCCGTCCCCTTTTAACTTTGTACAAGAGTTGGAAAGCTTCGGTCATAGTTGGAATGCGACCCAGAATGTGTGAACTGAAAGCACTCTCGATTGACTTAATCACTTTACTTCTCAACGAGGCAGAATGGTGATCACCGATGCTAGCGGATACCCGGAGCACTTGGTGCGTTCTGTGATCCAATCACTTGAGGCGTTTGCGAGAGATATTAGAACTAAGCAAAAGGCTGTGTAAATCTTCTTCAAGGTGACAATTTGACAGGGGTTGTCACATGGCATCAACGAAGCATTTCACTCGGCCATGCTCCAAACTCGACTCATATCAAGCCCATCCCCATATCTACGGTTGAAAGATTGAGATCCCACCTCTAGTGTCACATTCTGTATCTATTCATTCGCTTGCTCCTGTGTCTGGACCGCCTACGCGTGCTGCATCTGATCTTAACTGATTGTGAGCACTTGAAGTGCGTCAAAATACTGTGCACGGCCTTGTCATGCAGTACGATAATCGCGACCGTCTAGTGTTAAGTGATGGAACGCACTGTAGAATGCACGGATCACATGACCGTATTCTATGAGAGAGTTACTTTCTCGTCCAGTTGATTGCACAATGCGGATCAAGTTCACTTGTGACTTTGGGTAACCTTCCGAGAGCCTGTTCGTACACATCAAAGTGTTATCCCCAACCACAAAAAATAATGTGGCTAGTCCGCGACGGAGTGTGGACCGATCTCAGTCAACGGTTGATTGGCACTGTCCATTGAATGGGGTCGGATAAACTTTACACGTAACTATTTGACCGGTCATTAGCAATGGACACTTTCAAATTATGAGGAATCGCACAATGTTCAGTTGACTTGCATCCATCACACCGTTAGCCAGTAACTCTTTCAGTTTCGACGTTTGACGGTGCGATTCATTGCCATTCCACCCATCTCTTAGTGAGAATGATTACGCCTTCAGGACTCCATTATCCTTGGGAAAAACCAAATTCGACTTGCCGAAGCACGAACTTTACCTCGGTTTACGCAGCATCCCAATCGGACACGGTTCAAGTGCGATCGGGCAATTGAGTGTTTTTGTATTTATGATTGAAAAATATGATAACATCTCACTGAGTTTCTCTCAGAAATGTTCAGGTTATTTTTTCCTAAACCATTAGCGATTGATGTTCTCCTCGTCATTTTTTTTTTACGGAGTACAAAGTGAAATGCTCGTACAGTGCTGATAATCATTTGGTTTTCTAATTCATGTTGAGAAAAATTCTTCTACAATTTTTCTCAAACTTGTATTCAGTTATGCGGTAGTAAGTAGTTTGTGTAAACCGGGAGAAAAACAAACGTGAAAATTGATGAGAAAGAAATTTATCAAACTATTGAACGCGTGATTCAAAAGAGAGTGAGAGCAAGGGAGGGTCAAACAGAGTGAGTGGGATCATTGAAACCAAAAATACTGCCATGGGTGACACGGAGAGCGAGAATTTGGTCACCAGTCAATAGTAAGCAGGAACTGACAGCTATTAGTCAGTGTGTCATCTACACTGACCAAACTAGAAATGATGACAGATGGTGACAGAATACTTCCCAAATCGTAGAAAAATTGAACACGAACGTTTGGTTACCAGGCCTGGTTGCGAGTCACATGTGAATCACCCATAAGAACCAAAATCTGGAAGTAATATGCAATGATTGTAGCTCGGGATGAGGACGTTGGTGTGTTCTCCGAGCTGCCGGTGTTGTTCGCAGACGTTGCGTAGCCAGACTATCAAGTTGCACTGAGAATGCTCCCTAGCCTGGTCATGAAACGTCTGCGAACAACATTTCTGGTTCGGAGAACACACTAACACCAACACGCAAGATCTGTTTACATAATCTATTACTTACACTGCACCACAGCTTGAACTAAGCTATGAATAAAAGCTACTAGGCGCATAGATCCCGCAGTTCGAAGCGGTTTCCGGACCATTATTGCATAGTATACATCTTACAAAAGACCACCTCCTCGATCACAGACAAAAGTACTTACATGGCACAGAAGTAAAGAGAAACGGACCAGCCAAACGATCCTCATTGATAGTGATGTAAAATACACAGTCTCTTGATAAAGGCCATGAATCTAATTTCGGCTGAGTCAAGAGTGAGTCATTTATGTTACTGTTTGTATTATTTTTGTCGTTGATGTTGTTAAGCCCCTCTGACTCGGACGGGACATCCTCCGCCGAATCCTCTCCCTGACGGCCAGAATCTATCGGATAACTGGAATTGAGCGCGTACGTATAGACCGGAGGTCTGCAAATCGAGGCCAATGGAACAGATCGATGACAGTAATCACATAGAGCCGGCTCGGAAAGTTCCACACATGTATGTTCCTTTGTAGACAATGAGCGTAACATACGCGAGCTCGGACGGATTTGTGGCAAAGGCGGTGCAACACGCGTTCGATCATTTTGTGCCTGGGCCAAACAGCGTGCTAGCGTATTCGGATAGGCCGTGTTTTGTAGGGAATTTGTGGGAAATCCTCTATCCATTGTGATACACCGGACGGAGAGCGTTAGATTACGGTCAGTCAACAGTCGTCTATACACACACACCTACACACAGAAACACAGACCCCTCGGTGAATTTATCAAATGTGAGATCACTGTCAGCTATCTGTGTGAGTTTATCTGACCGCGGTCGATTGAAACACCGAAAACCTCGTGAACCGTCAAATTATCTCTGCTCAAGGTCAGTCCCAGGTCACAGTGAACCATTCTCGTTTGTTATTCGTTCATTCATTCACTCACTCAGCTGCCTCCTGCTGTGAATTGTGGTGCAACGAACTGAACCGAATCTGATAATGTGAGTGAACTTTTCTTGACTATGCGTACCGGTTGGTTTGACTTTTTCAGTCTTTTTTCCTTTGAATACACGATCGTATGGCAGATGAATACAATGAAAAAGAGACCACTTCCCCCCGCTCCCCAAGACGTATTGAAAAGCACAATGTGGATAAGAGCTTCTCCGCTCTAGCTTCTTTAATGTAAGCATAGTGTCGGACAAATGGGACGAGACTCGAAGGTCAATTATCCAGACTCAGGAATGTAGCATGTGGCTCGGAGTGCGCGATTCGTGACATAGAAATACATCCCGGTGTGAATAACTATGAGGAATCGAATATTTGGTACAAGTTTCAAAGATAAATCTGTCAAAGCTGCTCAGTCAAGTCGCAAACGATCCATCCTCCTCAAAGACTAACTCGAGCCCCAGTAAAACGCATCGTTCATCGACTGCGTCCCAGCCATTACATCAAAGGGAAGTCTAGATAAACAGAAGCATCGCTCACATCGTACGTGGCCAAGTATTTAGCAGTCCCAATGTTTATCACTCTACCTCATCCGAGTCATTTTATCTCGCCATCGGGACCATCCACAACGCTTTTACGATAGGGCTGCTTGATGGAGTTGGTTTGAGTACCAAATAAAACACGGGAACCGTGTGTTTGTGTGTGCAATCAAGACTTTGATTTCAACTAAGAAACAGACGTTCACGATTTATTTTTTCGTACCCCAGAGAAAATCTGAGAACCCCTCAACCTAGTTATCATTACCAATAATCTCCCAAGGAAACGAATCTCTAACTTGTATTCGTTCGTTATTTGTTCTAAACACATTCTAACAATGCTACCCAGGCTCTCGTTGGTGAGTCACTCTTCATCTGATGGAGCGTATTTGTAGTAGTAAAGACAGAGAAAAACCACTGATGTTATGTGCATTTCTGTGACTGAACAAATCCGGTGAATATCTCGTCAAACCGATCAGGTATATGTATGTCCTAGTACTTTATATGCACCAGGACACTATCCTATCCAGCAACCATTGACCCATTTGACTTATCGTCCCCCTTAGTCACTTATTTATTTAACTGCTTGGTTTAAATTAAAGGTATTGATCAGACTCTCTAATTCTGAGCAGTAGATTTCAAACTACTACGAACTCTGTCGTGACACTCAAGGTCACATCACTTCAAATAGTGATACAAGAGAATTGAGAATAGTGCCATGGGAAATAAAGTTCGGAATAAAAGCTCCTCACCCATAGCTGTCGAAACGCAAGTGTAATATTGGAAACGGAAATATATTTCCCCATTGTGAGCCGTGTCGCACAAGTTCGACCACTACTTTTATATAAATCTTGCAGTTAACCCCACTTATGTCTCCATCTGCTTTAGCAATAACTGACTGATAAATCTCTTTTGGCCGGTCCTCAACCAATGGCATTCATTTTGTTCGGTTAGATAACTTTTAGAATCCAGTGAGTGGCGTGTGAAAAGAAAGCGAATTTTCTCCATATTCAACCGTGCTACCTAATCAACATTCGTTATTCGACTGGGGCTAACAGATTGTCATCTGTGTCTCCCTTCGTTGCCGTCGGGACAAATGAAATGACTATCCCTGAAGACGACGCCTGAAAAAACATAAATTGGTGACTTGGTTCAGCCATGGTATGAGCTGGTTGGCATAGTGATAACGCACACACCTTCCATGTGATGGGTCCGGAGTTCTAAACCCGAGCAATGAAACGGTGGATATGCACTACTGATAAGCTCCAATAAGAGTGAAACTCGAATTTAGTGCTTTCGAGTGTATGGTTGAATCGATAAACTGAGAATTGTTCGGGAAGGTGAAGTCCGAGGGATAATCAGATCAAATCTATTAATATCAATTATCCCACACCACAATTCACAAGTAACTGTGAATTATATGCGAACATTCGTTATCTCTATTTTACTGCCGTCTGAGTTATGGTGCACATAACGGTTCACTCAAAATGTGTGACAATGTTTGTACTGTGATCCGTGGAACTCTGCGCAGAAACCAAATCACACACTAAGTTAAGCAAATAAACAGGATGAATGACTGCTTTCATGCGAGTGCAACATAAATAGTGTACACTTACGTTGTAGTTGCGATCACCTTAGTTGGTGCTTTAGTTGTCAGTGCATACAAGTGAATAAAATGTAACATCTGGTCGGAAACTCACAGACACAATCCTGAATAGTTCAGATTCGTTTATTGGTCGTTACACGTGTTTGCTATCTATTGTTTTAATTTTCCATTTAGGTTATCACCATCTTTTCATCATTTCATTTTACTTCCTGCCCACTGAATATACAGATACCATTTTCAGGAAGAGGGAAGTGGTCAATCAAAGGACCGCATTCAGCACACAATGGGGAAAGTCAGGCGGTGGTGGTGGGATTCGAACACACACATACACTCGGGGTGATAATTTAGTGACATCATCACCGGGCCGCCGTCGCGCCTGAGTTCAGGAATAAAATGTAAAAGTCAAACGTTTGAGCTACATTCACCAGTTTAGTCAACAGAGAATCATCGAAATGGATTGGTCATCTTTTTCAAAAATAACATTTTAATAACAGTTACTTGCGAGTAGTGTTGTGGAATAAAGGCTATCGATTTGAAGTGATCAATCTTCAGACTGCACCTTCAGGTGCAATCTCTTTAGTTCATCCGGTTAGCCGTACATTCGGGAAGCAGTACAATGTCGAGTTTCGCTCTCATGCACGAACGGGACGGTGGATACGCATTGCTGATGACATTTAGCGAGAGCGAAAATCAAGCCCAGTTTGACTAAAAGAACTGGGAATTAGGTGTGAAGATGGAATCTGAGGCACTGTCGTTTTTGACAGACGGTCAAAATAGCAATGCACGTTGAAATAAACCAAAATAAACCGCAAATACCATACACACGACTTATTGCATTCAAGGTAATTTTCATCAAGAAACAGTTAATTAACACCTAGGCAAAAGTTGTATATTGAAATATAAACAGTGCAGAAAAATTTCTTAAGATAAACATACAACTTGGTTGTCCAAAGTGAAGTTTCTAACACACGTGTTACACCGTGTCTTTGAAGTGTGCTTTCCTGTTATAACTTCGTTCCTTCGACATGGTAGAATACCCACAAATTTTCTTAAACGTCTTTGTCATGAAAAGGGATGTGTATTTAAATGTGGCAGGAGGGCTAAAATGACTATCGATTATCGTTTTCGATCAAAAGTAAAATGAGAAGCTTGGATTACGCTTATGCAAGACAATTTTTGGGGGACGAGTGACTGTAAATCCATGTGGCGTGGAATCAAATTACTTAGTACACAGAAGAAAACGATTTCCAGTTTCTCCGTAGATATTAAACAAATGATTGCTGCATTTATTTATCCTTCTGTCGACACACGCCCCTGCTGAATATACTCGAATTTTGTAAACAGCCCATCTCTGAACCCATTAAATCTAGTGAAGTGTATAGACATGTGCACTTTCTCAATCTGCACCTGACCCAAGTTTCACACTTCTTGAACACAGTGCTGGGGCATTATCTCACATTTTTGCACATATAGCTAACCTTTCACTGGAACTGCGTATCATCCCAGAGTGACAGCGTCAGGTGAGAATTACACCTACCACCAAAGGAACAACACAGATCCCAAATGCGAAACATTTCTGGCCAAATTCTTTCACTTCCACTAGTTTAAAATCGATGGTGTGATCGGTTCTACTTTGCCTTCAGTTAACTCTCACCACCCCCAATGATGATATTCATCACTTTGCGCACGAGAATAACCACTCCGCATCAGGTACCTCTTCTTCCTTGGTTCACTTTGTTGCAAAGTCAAATATGTACACTGCATACTTCTTGATTATCCTTTAGCTTTTGACTTTGTGCAGTCATTTGTTTGTTCGTCTTCTCTTCTTGAACGGCTCGGAGACTACTTTTCATAACGATATCAGTAAGTTAAATCAAGAAGAAGACGGTCGAAAGCGTCACTCAGCAGTTTGGGTGTACTTCAAGGTGCTGTTTTATTATGCTAGAATTTTATGACTTACATTAGTGAATTACTTATTACGCCCTCTGTATGGCATATCTATTATGCTGATGACATTACTATATCTATTTCTGTGTCCACTTAATCGGAACTGGCAGCATAAAACGCAAACTTATCCCGCCCCGTGTCCCATTCGACGTTACTCGGTTTTAGCCTTAACCCAAGAAAACCCCTAGAATGAGTTTTATACTCCAAACTGTTTCCCAGCTACCTCCGCCAGGGTACAAATTAAAGGGAACGCCGATAAATAGGGTCAGTCATGTGATGTACTTTGGTTTGCTGAAGGCTGACTTCAAGCTGCGGAAATCTAGCCCTGCAATGATTAGCCAAGGTTTGCCAAATTCCATTATCTGTTCTGATTAACAACATCTGTGCTGGTTATAATGACGCGTGCTTGAAGTTTGCTAATAACATTCTATCTGACAGCATCTATTCATGGACCTGTGTGCATGTAAATCCCATCCCATCGCCCGTTACAAATTCAGACTCATCCCATCTAGGATTTTTGCTCACAGAAACCCCTTGCTATTCTATCTTGTCCGGACAGTGAATAACAAGGAGAGTGTTCGTTCTGAGCTTTCTAATGCATTTAGCAGTTAGTTCAGATGTTTTTCACACTCAATGTTCCGCTTTTTTAATCTT